GCAGACGAAACACAACCTTTTAGCATAAAATAACATATACTAGCCTTCCATTTTCAGAGTAGAAATTTACAGCTCTTTTCTTTTGAAAGCTAAGAACGTCTTTCCAATATCTTATCTATGTGCAACACATTTTGGAAATTTTAACCCAATTTCATTATCTAGACTTGAGAATAGACATAGTTCAAAGGTCAGAGATATTTACAAATTAATTAGATCTGTGCCTCTCAGGGCTATGGCAAACAGCGTTCTTGACATTTTGGAAATTTTAACCCAATTTCATTATCTAGACTTGAGAATAGACATAGTTCAAAGGCCAGAGATATTTACAAATTAATTAGATCTGTGCCTCTCAGGGCTATGGCAAACAGCGTTCTTGTTCTATCTATGCACACAGGGTTCATCTTTTCCTACCAATAAGAAATCTATCTGCATTATATAAGTAATGACACTGAGGGGGTGGTGGGCAGAAAGTTTTATCTTTTCTTTGAGATGAAGTTGTGGCAGAAAAACAGATTCGATGTGTTTCTACATTTTGTGTCAACTGTATTTTATACCTCAGTGTCTTGAGGATAATATTTTATCAATTTTAGACAGAATTTAAAAGTTGTGCATTTCAAGCTAACAGTTATGAATGGGAATCATCAGCATCTCAAAAAAGGTATTTCTTATAAGTATAAACAGGTATTTTTTTGTTTGTTTATTGTGGGGGTTTTTTAAATGTTTTTTTGGTTTTTGGTCTGGAGGTACTACATGTGTTCTAAAGCTTTTGGGAAACATATTTGCCAAACAGCTTGGAGGTAATAATTTGTCCAGACTCTCTAAGAGCTAAAAACTTCTTTATTATGTTTGTCTATAGACATATATGAAGAATTTGTTTTTCAAAATTTGATGTTTTTTCTAGTTTATTTTGAATAAATATAGTAAAAATTAGCAGCTCTCCAAAAAACACTCAGAAATATGATTGTTTAAAAGTTGGACTTTAGAAGTAATTTAGTTCCTTTTACTGACAATCAACAGGAATTTTGTTATCAGATATTAGGGAAAAACTGTGACGCGTCCTTGGAGATCATCCATTCTGATCTCACCTCTTCCCTTTGTAACAGGCAAGGATCCTCAAGTTATTCATATAACATTTCTCTAACTAAGAAAACTTTCCCACACTTTTTTAAAATTATGCATTATTTTATTACAGTATCTTCTCACCACTTCAGACTAAGGTAAAAGTGGAAAGTCTGTAGACAGGTCTCAAGAAGTTTAATTCAGAATATTTTAAAGTTGCGCCGCTAATAAATAAATATTTCATGCAAGCAAACATGTTCATTGCATTTTAAAGACACTGCNGTAAAAATTAGCAGCTCTCCAAAAAACACTCAGAAATATGATTGTTTAAAAGTTGGACTTTCAGAAGTAATTTAGTTCCTTTTACTGACAATCAACAGGAATTTTCTTATCAGATATTAGGGAAAAACTGTGACGCGTCCTTGGAGATCATCCATTCTGATCTCACTTCTTCCCTTTGTAACAGGCAAGGATCCTCAAGTTATTCGTATAACATTTCTCTAACTAAGAAAAGTTTCCCACACTTTTTTTTTATTATGCATTATTTTATTACAGTGTCTTCTCAACATTTTAGACTAAGGTAAAAGTGGAAAGTCTGTAGACAGGTCTCAAGAAGTTTAATTCAGAATATTTTAAAGTTGTGCCGCTAATAAATAAATATTTCATGCAAGCAAACATGTTCATTGCATTTTAAAGACACTGCTGAACTACTGAACTCTCAGCCTGATGCATTTTTGAAATAGTGAAAGCATTACTATTCTGATAGCTATAGGGGCTTAATTAATAATAATCATACCTTTCACAGATCAGATTTCCAAAGTCAAGTGCTTGGGGCAGAGAAAGAGAAGGTATATGAGTGAGTCGACTCTGAGTCTATTTTCAGGTTATTTTAATATCAAATTTTCTCCTTGCAGACTGTCATTAGTCTAGTTATGCTGCTAGGAGACAAGAAGACACTAAGGAAGCCAGGGAACCAGAGGGACATGCAGTCGCTCAAGAAATATTCATCAGTGCCTGGTATATGGTAAGCATTGAAATATAAAGATCCCAAATACTTCCTGTTCTCAAGGAGGCAACAGCTTAGGATGGGAGGCAAACATGGAAACATAAACCCAAGAAAATGTTTTGAAATACGATAGGAGAAGGTATAAGAGCAACCCTGCTGGCGTGGTGGCAGCACCGGGGGTGGGAAGAGCTTAGAGAGGAGTGGCCTTGAGTGCTCTTGAAAGATGGGAGAGAGAGAAGGAATAGTCTGAAAAGAGAAAAAGCAGGTACAAAAGAGAAAGAAACAGAATAAGCTTGAGAAGCAGCAAATAGTAAGGTAGAATATGAGTGTGGAGAGAGTTGAAATTGGAGAAGTTGGCAGGAATCAGTTCAAGGATGAGCTAGGATGGCATGCTAAGGATTTGGGACTTTATCTTACAATAGTAATCATTGTAATCATTTATATTAAGCACATATTCTGTGCCAGGCATTGGTGTGAGTACTTCACATGAACTAAATTAATTTAATCCTCACAGCAACTCTATGAAATAAATATTGTTCTGACCCTCATTTTACAAATAAGGAAATTAGGGCGCAGAGAGGTTAAATAACCAAGATCACACAGCTAATAAGTAATGAATCCAACAGTCAAACCCAGGTTATCATATTCTTGACCACTGGTTTATGTGCCCACCAAATGGGATGGTAAGTTTTTTTCAACAGAAGATTGACATAATAGGGTTTTCTTATAGAGAGATCACTCTGGAGATCATGTGGAAGATTACAGCCAGGAGGGCAGGTGGGAGTGGGTAGTGGAGAAAAGATCAGGGTAGAACAGTGAGAAGACTTGTACAAAAATCCAAGCAAAAGCTAATGACTATCTTACCCAGGAAGTTCAGGAAGAAACCCAGGCCTTGAGGTGACTTGACCCAGAGGGACCTAGCAGATTTGACACTTGTAGAGGATTACTTTTTAACACTTCCTCCTGCTCTATACAACAAAATTATTTTCGGTAACAGCCACGTGATGGAATAGTTGATAATGTCCAAAAAAGAAACAGAAATAGTGAAAAATTTCTCCCACTGAAGTTTTATATGTAACCATGCCAACAAAATAAATACAAAATAAAAGTAAGATTTTTGTATGAAAAAGGAAAAAAGAATAATGGACTAATACTTTAAAAGGACATCTAAGTATTTATGGAAAATGCATTCCTATATATTAGCCCAAAGCAATAATGACTAATAACAAAGACGACCAAAGTGTTCCCAAGAAGCCCATAAATCTACGAGGGAAAAGGACTTCTAAACAAAGTTTTATCTGGTGCTAAGGGAGCATTATTGTAGTTGTACTGGGCTCAGTACTGAGGGTCAACAGCAGTTCACCAGGATGACTGGGGATGGGGCCCATGGAGGGCATTCCAGGATGAAGGAACAGCAAGGGTAAAGGCCTGGAGGTGGGAGGAAGCCGGGAAGAACTGAGCACCCCCAGTCATTTTGTTCGGCAGACCCAAAAGTCCCCGAGTGAGAGGGCCTGCCGGAGAGGAGAGGGACACATCAGAGGAGAGGATGGGACCAAATTGCAAAGGGTTTTGGACACTGCAAGGACTTTTTTTCTTGGGAAGGTAGGTGGCAGTGTGGGGAGTAGACTGGTTAGGGTGGTGACAGGAGGGGCAGGTAATGGGGCCTAAATGCAGACAGTGGCAGTTTAGGAATAGAAAGCAGAAAACAGTGTTAAGATGGGGGGGGGGGAGGGACATTTGTGTTTGTTTTTCTAATGTACCCAAGAACCCAGCAGAAGAGATTTCCATGTCCTAGGTGCTGTAAGTGGCACCTAATAGTGTCTTGCACAGTGCCTGCTGAGACAAAGTGTGTGCTTTTCAAAAAGGAGCTCCAAAAATGTCCTTTAGGAAAGATGGCCATTAGTCCCAGTTTGCTGGGCTTCAGCCAGACTGTCTGGGAAAACGTATACCTAATATTCACTCTTACAAGTACAATTTTGATGATAAGTTGTATGGTAGCCCTCTCTTAGGGTAACCCTCTGGAATGGACCCTTGAGGGTTCCTAGTTCTGTTTAGAGATCTTAAGGATGGGAAGAAATCATGGACCTCATTTCCGCCTCAATCAACTCATCCTTCCATGCCCTGCTTTGGAAAAAAATTTCCTTAATGTCTCCAGAAGCATGACAGGGGTGCAACCTCGAGGGATAGTGGAAAGAGTATTGGAATGAGACTCTTCAAACCCAGATTCTACTCTAGCTCCGCCCCAAACAAGCTGTGCAGCCTGGGCAAGCGTCCACCTCTCTGGGCCTCAGGTCCTCATCTATGAAGCAAGAGGATGCTGCCAAGTGGCTTCTGATATCTTTCCCAGCTCTAAGTAACTACAAAAGAAGCCATTTTCCAGAAGCCAGTAATACATGGCAGTTCCCAGGAACTGCCACCTTTCCCTGGGAATCAGGCCAACACCTGCTGCGTGCAGAACGCACCGCTCATGCCTCATTCCCGCCTTTGCCCTGGGGGGTGACCACCTTCCCAGGCTCCTTAAACAAAGGGCTCTCAAACTTGGACCTATAGCAACATCTACATACACAGTGAATTTGGTATTGGGATCAGAACTGATTTCTCTGTGTACTTTCCGCTTCCTAGAAAAGCTACTCACTGTGTCCTTGTATATGCATCGTACCTTCTCTTCCTGCCTCTGTCTGTCTGTCCCTGTCTCTGTCCTGGTGAAGACAGCAGTTAAACGCTGGCAGAAAAAAAAGCTGCTCCCACCTGGTGCACCCCGCTACCCTCCTAGTAGGCGGGCTGCGGACCTCGGAGGACCCTGCTCCAGCCGCCCCCAGACGCCCCCAAGCGTGGGAATCGTGACGCCTTCCGGGCCAAACGTTTGATGTCTGTCCGTCTGTATTTTTTAGTTCTTTTTTCTTTTCTTTTTCCACTTCTTTACCTACTTACTCACCTCGCCTCCCTCTTGCCAGCCCTTCCTGGGCGCGGGGACGCGTCGCTGGCGCTGGCGCTCGGCGGGCTGGGAGGGGCCGCAGCCCATGCTCCGGTGCAGTCGCCCGGCGCCCCGCACTCCCGGGCTGGGCAGGAGGCGCCGGCTGCCGGGCAGTTGCCGGGAGCTGTTGCCACAATAAGTCGCGTCACGCGGACCTGGGACCTGGGCGGCGATGGGCCTTTTGAAAATGCAAACTAGAAAATTGGAGGCGTGTACCTAAGTCACAGCTGCGATGCAAATGACAGCCCGCTCCAGAGCGAGTGCAGGCGACGGCCCCGCCGCCTGGCCGAGTTGGTCTGAAAAGTGCCGGAGTCGTAAGCATCGCGGGGACCTCTGGTTTGTTCCCTTTGTGAGGGACCGTGGGACACGCCCCCACCCCTGGTTCCTGGGCCACCCACTAGAGTCGTTTTCAGAGCTGTGGGGTCGGTGTCGAAGGCGACCGTGTAGAAGGCTACCCGGGAGACCGCTCTGGAGGGCAGGTGGGTGCGTCGAAGGCGCCCGGACAGCACCAGACGGCAGTGTCACAGGGCGACCTCGGAAAGGATGGTCACGCCAGTGAAGATACCCGGACATTTAGGAACACGAACAGCTCAGCAGCCGCCAAACGGGTGGTGCGAATCATTTTTATGGAAGGTGTCTTTTATGAGCTGTTTCCTAAGGAACGAGCATTGGTATCAGAGAATTAGGTGAAAACGGTGTGACTCATCAAAAAAGGCAGACGGCTCAAATGAGCAACGGGTTTGTCTTTCCTGGATTATTTTTAAATTTTATGCTATTCTCAATTATTATTTTTTATTTTTGAGGATTAAAAAAGAAGCCGGAAGGGATCTTAGAGATCTTCGACCAATCCTTCATTTTACAGGCTGAAAATTTAGGCTCAGAGAAGTTGAGTGACTTTCCCAAGATCAACCGGGAGCTGGGAGGAGGAACCAGGTGGCCTGACTCAGTCCCTCCATGTGTCCACAACACCAGGAAAATACAACTAAGGATTCCTGGGAATGTAAAAATCCTGGATCCTTCCAAGGAAACTAGTGGTCAGTTTTGTTGTAGAAAGCTGATTATGTACTTGATAGCATTTCAATTCATTTCACTCTTTCTGCCTCTGACTGCTGGATGACGTTGCTTGCAGTCTTCCATTTACTGAAATTGAGGAACAAGACAGAAGATGAAATGAAACTCAAGTCAAAGCATTATAATTAGGGAGCAACAAACATTAAAGACTTATGAAGAGTTGAAACAAAGTTAAAACGGTGTTTGGGAAACATCTCTGAAAATATTAACTCATGGGTGTAATAAGTCACATGAAATGTTCCTACCAGAAACTGGAAAATTCTCAACTAGAGTAATCCAACACAAAGGACACTTCTAAAATGTTCTTGGGAAAGTCTAACAGATGTTTGCAGAACTGTAAGAGTGAAATTCTGCACACAACTTTTTTCTAATTGAAAAATAATGAATTAAACATTAGTGGGGTACAGCATTGAATACCAATATCTGTGCACAATGTGTGATGATCAAATGAGGATAATTAGCATGTTCTTCATTATAAAACATAATCATTCCTTGTGTCCATTAAACAATTTCTTGCTAACCCAACCACAGCTCTGTTTTTTAATTTTCTTTTAAGGCTATCCACAAACAGAGATTTTCTGTGAATAAATGGAGCAGTACCCAAATGTGTTGTGCAGATATCTTTTGGAGCATCCTAAAACTATAGTCCAAAGTTGTGAAAATGTCCTCTTTCTGGGGATATGCTAGGTCCAGCTGGTACCAGCTCATGAGAGCTGATTATCAGGAATATTTGGACCCAGTTGTTAAATACAGCCATTATTAAAATTACATTATACAAACATACAATTGAATTAATTGTGTTAAAAACAAAGCTAATAAATACAAACACACTTTGAGTAGCAAGAGTGTAGAACAGCTCTGAATATTAAATCATGACTTCAAAAGACAAGGCTAAAAGGAAAAATGGGAGAAAGGAGAAAAGTGAGGAGAAAAAAAGATGGGGAAGAAGTGAGATGAAGTTCATAAGACCATCAAGTGCACAGGAAAAGAAACACTGGCCTCATTTTATCAAGGTATTTTCAGTATAGGAAGACCTTTGAGCATGAAATGACAGCTAAGAGGTGGGTCTGAGTGCAATGTTTACAACTAATTGATCACAAGTTACAGATTTTTTTGTTCCTTCTCCACTCCTGATGCTTCACTTGCCTAGTCAAAAATAAATAAATAAATACATAAATAAATAAATACAGCTAGGATCCGCAATGCTATGCCAGCTGCTTATCCTCCTTTCCTGGTAGAGAAGGCATTTTTCTAAGTTAGTAGGTCAGGGAGAAGGAGAAAAGAAAATCCTTACTTGCCATCACCCAAGCTCTGGAGTCAGTTTCCCCTTACTCTCTGTTCTCTCTTAACCTGTGTGGGATGGAGGGTGGACCAGGGAACAGAGGTCATCTCCCTGCAGCACTCAGAGCATTAGTATATTAGGGCAGGGTCTGTTGCACATAGCCCAGGGGTTTCAAATTCCACAATGATACCTTTTCGCTTTTAGTTCAGATTTTGAGCTTTTCTAGGAAGTGGAAAGTTGCACAGAGAAATCAGTTCTGATCCCAATACGAAATTCACTGAGTTTACTAAGATTTTTTTCCTATGAATAGGAAAATTATGTGCTGACTTTCATTTCCAAACATGTCCCAACGGACTAAGTGTCAGAGTAAAAGATAACATTTTGAGTGCTTGCTGAGGATTAGGTGAATGAGGGAAGCTGATGGCTGTATTGGTATTTCTGTTTTCTCAGTCCATTATTGGTGTAAAGTGAGGGTTAGAAAAGTATGACCCATGGGCCAAATCTGACCCGCTGCCTGTCTTTATATGAGACATGAACTAAGAATGGATTTTACATTTTTAAGTGGTTTTTTTAAAAAAGAAGAATATTATTTAGGGATGAGTGAAAGTTATATGAAATTCGAATTTCAGTGCTCATAAAGTTTTATTGGAACATAGATGCTCTCATTTGTTTACATGTTTTCTATGGCGGCTTTTGGGTTATAACAACAGAGTTGAGTAGTTGCGACAAAGACCGTAGGCCTGCAAAGCCTAAATATTTATTATCTAGCCTTTTATGGAAAATATTTGCTGATCCTTGATTTAAAATGATAAAGTAATTCCCACAAGGGTATTAAATAGCTACAT